CCCCGAGAGTCGAACACGACTGGACAAAAATTGTCAAGGGGAACCTTTACCTTACACATAGAATACGTGATGTGTGAAATTACTTTCCCATACAATTTCACATTTCTATAACATTAATTCCAATAGTCAAAATTATTCTTATTGGTATGCTATCCTGATATTGCATAATGGAAATAGAAAAGTGAATAAACCAGTCTGCTTAATCTAACACACAATCTGCTGCTTTAAAACATGGGGGGTGTTGTTATGTAACTGCAGAATCACTACAATTATATTCCCACCACCACTGCCAAGCCTGTCTCTCCAGCTAAAGTAACGGCAATATATTAGCAGAGCTGAACGTTCAGCTGTTGAAGATGTCGGTATGACCTTAAAGTTACATGGATTTGCGCTGAATGCCAGCACAGAAAGTCAAAATTGGGGCTTTGGAATTGGTGATTAATTATCATGATGAACTAGAAAAGGTTATTGGAATAATCCCTATATGTAATATTAAAATATTTTCATTCCTGTGGTATTAATTTAACTTTGCAATAGCAACTATTTTGACTACTACCCTGTTTTCCCCAAAATAAGATCTAACCCGAAAACAAGCCCTAGTATGATTTTTCAGGATGCTCGTAAAATAAGCCCTATTTTAAGTGAAACCCCTCCTTCCACCTTTATGAAGCAACCAGAAGATGACATGGCTGTGCTGGAATAAATGTAGATTGTTGTGCATGAAAGAAATAAAACATCCCCTGAAAATAAGTAGACCATGTCTAGATGGGCGGCATATAAATGCAATAAATAAATAAATAAAATAAAATAAATAAGCCCTAATGCATTTTTGGGAGCAAAAATTAATATAAGACCCTGTCTTATTTTGGGGGAAACTCAGTACTACACATGCTGTTTTTCCCTGCAGAAAATGTTCTAGCCATGGCACAGCATGCATCTTGTTCTCTTCCTTTCCTTTTTCTTGCTAACAGGTGTGCTCCGAATGAAATGAATTCTGTACACTCATGACAGTGACTGCGGCTCACTTGCTGGGTTACTGGGAGTACAGGATATAATTTGACCTCTTTTGTGCAGGTTTTTTTTATGAAGTTCCATAACAATATTTCACTCTTTGCTATTATTGGACATCCAAACCTGTTTTCCAAATATCCCACAGATAACTCCACAACATGGCTTTCACAGTATAAGAAACAGAGCAACAATCATTTTATCTTATGCCATTATCTCTACAATTGCTATTGTAGAACTGCATGCTAAAATTTTCAAAAGCAATCATGTAATCATGCATACCTGCAAGCTCCTTAGTCTAAAAACTCTTTTGTGCAGACCTTTAATTCATGTTCTTCCCATCTGGAGCATTAAAAAAATTCAGTGAAGGTTGTAGTTTGCTTTTTCACTTCCTGCACGTTTAAATAGTCCAGCAACATCCAGAGGGCAGACATTCGCAGCCCTTGTACTTAAAGACAAGAACTGGGGATGTTTTGTTCAAATGGAGCAAGTAATATCTCATCCTGATATAAATCTTATTGTTGTTGTTGTTGTTTTGAGCATATAATGAACATAGGAAAACCAATAGCTTCAGGTCCTTGGACAATAAGCTTGGTTTAAATCAGGGGTGTCCAACCTTTCACCTTCCCTGGGCCACATTAGAAGATGAAAATTTGGTTTGGGCCGCACATAAATTTGGTTTGGGCCGCATAAGGGGGCAACCCTAGCTGTCCTCCACAGCCCCGCTCCAAGTGCGCTTACCAGCAGCTGCGATCTCAGACAGCAGAGGCTGCCAGCTTCGACTCCGGTGGCTTTATGGGGCCGGGAGGGGGTCCACCTATTGACGGGGATGGTGCAATGTAGTCACACCGCTCCCCTCTCCTCCTGCTCCTTCCTTCCCTCTCCCCCCCCCCCCCCACTGTTGTGACGTGCCCCAGCCGCATTCCGGTCGCAAGCCCCGGCGGTGTAACTTGAAACTTTGGAATTTCTTTTAAAATAAAAAAATTGCACTGGTCCACATTATGAGCTGACCTGGGCTGCATACGGCCCTCAGGCTGCAGGCTGGACAAGCTTGGTTTAAATTATTTATTTATTTGTTTGTTTAAATGTTTACCGCGCCCCTCTCTCTGGCCATTTTACAATGTTATGACATAGACATAAAATAAAACTTAAATGTAATCTCACTGGCTACATGGAGCTACTCAAAAAGAACTGCATTTGGATCCCCACAAGAGACGCACTGACTGGGCCTATTTCAGAGTTATTTCTGTTTGAGATTTCTTTCAGGAATTTCTGAGGCATAATCCCTCTAAAACTCAATCCCAAAAGATTCTTTGGAATATATTCTTTTTAGGAATGTAAGCAATATACAGAACCTCACCATTTTTAGTATTTTTTTTCCTACGCATCAACAGAGATGTGTAGAAAAATAATACTAAACTTGGTTTGTTTTGTTTTTTAAAAAAACAAAATAATAATAGTCATTGATTGACAGCTGGGTGAATGTTGCCTGTGCGTTAGGCAAATTTCTAAATAAGCAATATGCAAAATTGTGCTTTAAAAAGTTTCTTTTTTATGAGTGTTGGGGGGATGGGGATTGGGGATGATAAGTGATGCCATCTAGAGAGGATGTGCAACAAGCCAGGCTCTGGGTAAGGTATTTAGAGGCAAGTGGCAGCAAAGATGATTGGGCTGCTGGAGAAAAGTGGATCAGACACTGTTGGAGAATGGCAGCTCAACAGGAAAAATTGAGGTATTGAAAATGGAGATGGAATCATGATGGGAAGAAGAGCAAAGGGAAGAATTGTTTTCAAGAGACACTTTTGCAATAATGGAACAAGTATGGGGGAGTGTTTGCAAATGTAAGAACTGCAGCTATGTATTCAGTGTATACACTGTATCTCTTCTGCTCAGGCAAGGAAAACACACCGATTAATGGACCTCTCCATTTCCCACATATAGCTGCTTTGGAGCAATTTGTGCTATTTGCAGGAAGTCAGTCTCTGCCAATAATTTCTGCTACCAAATTGCTGTGCTGTATAAATAGCTACCTGATTCTTCTTTAGAGTAAAGTGTGTTACAGATAACAAGCAAAGTCTAAAAACCCTAGAAAAACAGAAGGACGTTCCAAGATAAAATCAGTCAGTCTTGCTTCCTGGTGGTAGGCAGAGTAGTACTGCAGCCGAGAACTGTACAGGAACCGATGTCGATGTCTTTTGCATGAATACACAACAAAGGGACAATTTGTGACATTAAAACGGGGAGATTAATAGCAAGACAAAAAGAAAGGAAGAGTTAAAAGCGTTAGGAATCTCTGAAAGGATGGCTATGTTGGACAGCTGAAGATAGTAGTTCAGCTGCTTTTGACGTACTGAATTTAATTGAGCATAGCATTTGTTTAAGCTAGTAGGGCAGTGCTTGCTTAAGACCCAACTATCTTTAGCTCTTGCATCCCTAAGCCTTGGGAAGCTTTGGAGCATTGAGTAGATACTTGCAGGAGGTTGTGCAAGGGATAAATCCTTACTCCAGACAAGCACTGGAAAGAAGGCAACATGCCCTCCCAAGCAAGTTGACAACTTTCTTTTGTTGATGCTTATCTCCAGTCTTCAAACAGAGCTTTGTGTCTCCAAAAGCACCCACTGTTGACAGTGCAGGACAGTTGTAGGAGTTAGGATTCCCTACTCTCTGGTTTTACCAGGCAGACCCTCGGCTTCGTTTATTAACCAGAATTTCCTCATGCTGTATGAACTCTGCTTACTCCTTGTTTCAGCTGAAGAATGAATGGATAAGTAGATAGCTCCTGACGGACGCTCCCAGGCACAATACTTCTATACAATACTTGTATGCTGATTAGTTCTGCACATGTAAATGAACTGAGAAAAGATAACTCATATTTACTTCATCATGTAAAAAGTGGCTAAATGGGTTCTAAGACTACTTGAATCTCCACTTATCTTGAATGACTGTTTAACTATGCTTTCTCAAATTACTTCGGTTTACCCATAAGTTCCCTAATAGGTGCATGAGTATATCTTTTATCATGTACTATTTCCTCTTGGAACAAATATCCTACCCAGTTTGATTATTTCCTCACAAAGTGCTGATAACTTGCTACCTGATTGAGTACACAATCTGTGTGTGCTGAGCTGAGGCACCTATGGTAAGAAACACAGTTTAAATCATTCTAAATCAACTTTACCTAATCTGGTATTATCTAGATGCATTGGATTACAATTTCCATTATTTCTTGCTAACATAGATGGTGGTGATGGGAGTTATTACCCTGGAGTGCATATAACAACAGCTCAGTTGATCAATGTTGTTCTTAAATAGTATCTGCTGTATTTGTAAGTAGAAATGGGAAGCCCTGGGAAAAAACTGGAAAATTGTGGTAAAAAAGAGGTTTCCAATTTTTCCAAAGCCGGGTTCTTTTCCAGAAAAAAAAATGAAGTGTGGAATATGTTCTTTTACAATGATAAATATGACATAATGTTCAAACTATATAACATGAAGTCGTTAATGAAAGACTTCTGAGACCTTATGTATTTAAGTTCTTTGTAAGTTATTATTCCATATGTGGAGTGCTAGATTCAAAAGAAAGCATGAAAATGGCATTTTGGTGATTTTGCTCAATCTGTTTCACAGAATTCACCACAAGGCTTTAGGACGTCTGCTAAATGCACATTCTTTTGACATTCCCTTCAAGGTTTTGCCAAACAATCCCCTAAACTGTGTGTGCGCTACTGGATAGCAGCCTTTTCCAGTCCAGTAAGCTCTTACATTGGTCTACAACTCCCATCAGCCCCAGTCAGTCTTTGTGTCTATAATGACAGAGGGTTTCTGAAACTGCTCATAAAACATGAAAAGTTTCCTTATTCAGTTAGTCAGATACTGGTTTTGACCACAGTGCATTAGGTGCAGTGAGAAATTGAACAAGCAGAACAAATCACAACAAATAGTATATTGTTTTTAATGATTAACCAATGTGTGCTTTCTTTTATGTCACCCTGCAGGCATAGTTTCTATCATGACCCTCACCGTCCTGGCCTATGAACGTTACATTAGAGTTGTGCATGCAAGAGTGATTGATTTCTCATGGTCTTGGCGGGCAATCACATACATCTGGCTCTATTCGTTAGCCTGGACGGGAGCCCCTCTCCTCGGCTGGAACCACTATGCACTAGAAATACATGGATTAGGCTGTTCGGTGGACTGGAGGTCAAGAGACCCCAATGATTCCTCCTTTGTCCTCTTCTTCTTTCTTGGTTGTTTAGCAGCGCCTGTAGGGATCATGGCTTACTGCTATGGACATATTCTTTATGCAGTACGAATGGTGAGTTGACTAGAGCCTGGACTTTAAATGAGCAAATACAACTTGGTTTGTTGAAGACTGAGCAAATGAGAAAATGTGCCATCTAAGGATAAAATGCACAATATTCAGATTAACGTTTTCTAGAAATACTGTATCTTACTGTTACATTTTAATGACTAGTATAGCAGCAAAATGTAGCAGATGAATTGATATGCTTGATTTATTCCACAATTTATTTTGTTTATAGTTTTATTTGGAATAGGAGCCTCATGGCACAGTGGTTAAACCGTTGTACTGCAGCTAAAACTGTGCTCACGACCTGGGGTTCAAATCCCAGGTAGCTGGCTCAAGGTTGACTCAGCCTTCCATCCTTCCGAGGTCGGTAAAATGAGTACCCAGCTTGCTGGGGGGGCAATGTGTAGCCTGTATAATTAAAAAATTGTAAAACCGCCTGGAGAGTGCTTGTAGCGCTATGGGGCGGTATATAAGTCCAATAAATATATAAATAAATAAAATAAATAACTTTTTCTAGTATTCACATTTAATGTGGCTTTGGATTTTTCCTACTACAGCCACACTTGTGTAAGGGAAATGGAACAAATCAGCAGTCAGTGAGTAACACTGGAGACCGGAGTGGCTGCACAAAGTGATCTTAAACAATGTAAAATGTTGTTCAATGTGTGTTGTACAGCAGAGCACAACGTGTACTGCTTATATATTGCCTCATAGTGTTTAAAGCACTCTCTGGGACGTTTACAGTTTAATTATGCACACTACGCATCCCCTTCCTCCAATTAGCTGGGTACTCAGTTTGCCTGCCTTGGAAAGATAGAAGGCAGAATGAACCTCGAGCCAAGTACCTCAGATTGAACCTGGGTCATGAGCAGAGTTTTGGCTGCAGAACTGCAGTTTAACAACTGTGCCATGAGGCTCAATGCAATGAGGCATAAAGAAAGATTCCACAAAAGGAAGAGATGCAAATCAATAAAATGCATTTAAAATAAATCTGTAATGCTGAATGTATTTTTATATTGGTAAGTCTCATTGTGCTATTCACCTCTGAGTAAATACAGTGGTGCCTCACGTAGCGATGTTAATCCGTTCCAGAAAAAACATCGCTAAGTGATTTAATCGCTAAGCGATATTAAAAAGCCCATAGGAACGTATTAAAACGTGTTTAATACGTTCCTATGGGCTAAAAACTTACCTTAAAGCGAAATTCCTCCATAGCGGCGGCCATTTTGGGTGCCTCTAAAGTGAGGCAACATAGCAGTGGCCATTTTGTTTTTGCGGCAGCCATTTTGGAACCGCCGATCAGCTGTTTAAAAAAGTTCACTTTGCCATGATCGCTTCCCTGCGATCATCACAAAGCGAATTTTAGCCACAGGGGACATCGCCATGCGATCGCTCCAGTGATGGCCAAAAGTCCATTGCAAAGCGATTTCATCGCTCAATGGAGCGATCGCTAAGCGAGGCACTACTGTATGCGCTAGTCCCAGTCCCTTCACCCTTGTTCCATGGTTTCTTACAGGTCAAGAGAGATTTTCTGAAAGGGAGAACATCCTATATCTGTGAAGGCTCTCCACAAGGTTCCCAATTGCATGGTGGGCCACCCTAGATATGGAGGAGGCTTTTCTTGTTAGGAAGATGTTCTCTAAATGTCGAGAGTATCAGGGGGAAATGATGGAGGATAATGGGGCCAGCAGGCACCCCCTCCTCACTTGTTTTCTTCCTCAGATACTTGATATGGGAATAAGGCTTTACTGATCTTCAGCACACTCTGTCCTATTGATTACAGTAAGACTGAGAATTCAGGTGGAGGGTTATACAGAGAGTCTGGAACTCTTAATTCACATACTGTTTATAAGCAAGCATAACTTTTTTAAAAATCTAGAAAATAATTGACCTACCCTTGGCTTCTAATTATCTTATTCTTTGATTGCTTTCTTGCATTTACTGTATTTTTCCGTATTTAAAACCCCCAATGTATAAGGTGACCCCCCAACTTGCCAGAAGCGGAGGCGAAGGAGCAGCCGCCCTTGGCCGCCTTTCACGGCTGCCCATTGACTGCTGCCACTGCTGCCCGATCGCCTCTTCCAGTGCCATTGCTGGGGCTCACCTCCAGCTCACGTTGCCGCCTTGTCCCTTGCCCAAAGGGAACGCACGAGTGGTGCTGGAGGAGGTGATCCGGCGGTGGCGGCAGCAGTCAATGGGCAGCCACGAGAGCATGGCTACTCCTTCGCCTCCGCCTCCTTCCATGTGTAAGACAATCCTCAATTTTCCTCTAATGATTTAGGAAAAAGTGCATTTTATACATGGAAAAATATGGTAGTGACTGCAGGACAGCAGCCATGTCTCTCATTGTGCTGAATGGCTCTTGCATGGGTATGAAACTGTACTTCTCTGCCTAAGCACTCAACCTTCCAGTGTTCATGCAGCTAGGCATGGAGGGAGATTTTCATAGGGCCCAGTGGAGCCTTCTTTACTCATCAGTTTTGCAGGCACACACTGATGTATTGACCTGTCATTGCAACAGGAATATGGAATGCTTCTCTGCATCCATTTGCCCCTCTTAACTACCGGTCCTAGTCCAGAGTCTGTTTCAAGCCTGAGTAAATTTTGACTGGAAGTGGCTGAAAGGCAAGGGGCTGCATGGGAAAACAAGGAAGTCTTCAATGTCCTGTTACAGATAATGGTGATTGTACTATAAGTACACATAGGAAGAAGGATCCTTTGGGAACTGTGGCCTTTGTGAGGGGAATGATTATGCCCTAATACTGTAGAATGAAACAAGAGTAATATGAAAAACATAGTCAGCTAAGGTGTCCTTTGATGGTTTTCATGTTTTTTCTTTATTTTCCAGCTTCGCAGTGTTGAAGATTTGCATACTATCCAAGTGATCAAAATCCTCAGATATGAGAAGAAAGTGGCTAAAATGTGTTTTTTAATGATAACCACATTCCTTGTTTGTTGGATGCCTTATGCTGTAGTCTCTCTTCTGGTAGCCTATGGATATGGTCACCTTATAACTCCAACAGTGTCTATTGTCCCATCTTTCTTTGCCAAGTCAAGTACTGCCTATAACCCAGTTATCTACATTTTCATGAACAGAAAGGTAAGCCATGTAAAGGAGCATTACAAAGTGCAATTCACAGGATCTTGTCTCCTTCATTTTGTATTATAGGGCTTCTTTTGGTCAAAGTGAATACAACAAAATGAAACTTATTACCTCATAAACACATGTTCTTATTTAGTGGTAGGCCTTCCACTGAAGAAATCAAGGTTAGCTGAACTCTAGTGGGTGGTGTAAGCAACAAAACCTGCCTGTGGCCACATATATCTCACCACAGGTGCTGAATGAGTTCCCACATTCCTTTTAGCATCACTGCCACACCTAAGAAGAGTTGTGTCAGCTACTAGCAAACAGGAACAGGTTCCCCATAGCCTGCTGCAGGCTGGCCAAAATGTGATTTCTGTTTTTTTTAATGGAAAGAGGGTATGCAAGAATATTTTTCATCATTCTCTTTCTTGAATAGATGTTGGAAGGTTTAAATAGTCTGTTATTGTTACTTTTCCACTGCTGGTGCCCCCTACCATATACTTGCCTTATATGAAGATCTACATTTTTGAATGTGATGCGTTTTTGAATTACAGTTGTCAATTGACCAATGTTCTTCAAAAGCCTTGTTCTGTGCCTCAAGTCAGAAGTGACTCAAAGTGTCCCTGGTAGGACTTCCAAGGTATGTGAGATATTTAAGGAGTGGCTTTACCAGGTCCACTCTCCCCACCCCCACCCTGTGAGTTTCCATAGCTGAGTGGAGATTTGAATCAAGGCCTCCTGAGTCCTAATCTGTCACTACACCACATTTGGCATCCCACATTATAAATGTGTGCTGTCAAGTCAATTCTGAGTTATGAACAGGGTTTTTTTGGCTGTTTTGCAGTGACTGTAGTAAACTATTGTTCAAGCCTCAATTTAAAAGCACTTTCAAGGCTGCTTTAATAATAATAATGATCATTCTGATGATGATGATGATGATGATGACGACGACGACTTATAGCTATCCTTTTGAGGGTTGCCCAGGTAGAGAATACTCAGAAGTGGTTCACCATTCCCTTCTTCTGAGGGCACCCTGGGACTGTGCAGCTTTCCCAAAGCCACACAGGCTGACTTTGCTTCATATGAGGCACGGCAGGGAGCAGAACTCCCAATTTCCGGCTCCCCATCCAGATGCCGACCTCACTGAGCTATCCAGCCAGCCTTACAGGTTATGAAAAGTCAGTTTCAGCAAGGAGAAAGTAATTTAAAATTAAAAATCTATTAGTCTAGATATGAAAATTTGAAAGAGCCACATCTCTCTGTGTTTTTCTTTTTAAGTTCAGGTAATTTCATTAGTAGGTTTCATTAGTAGTAGTAATTTTATTTATTATTATTTTTATTTATTATTTAAACCAAGATAGTGATCCAAGATGGGAAGCTCTTCATTCATGCAATATCAAATTCATCATCACTACTAGTGGTGTAAAGTTTCCAGAAATGTCAAGCTGTGGGAACATGTTTTGGAGTCATTTCATATTTTTTTTCAGATAAAACCTGACATTTTAGAGAAATTATGCAGTAATTCATCTTATTGTTTTAACAATATACAATACTATTCTCATTATCTTCATGAAGCATATGGCACTTCATGGGATTTAAAAAGTTAAGACTTTTAAGACAATCCTAACTGGCTGAGTACCTCAGTGAAGATGCTGAGGATCAGTCGAATTAGTGCTAGGCTCGATGACGCTGTGCTGAATCTAAATTCTTCCCATCTTACGGTTGTTGGAAATGACTTAAGGCTATCCTCACTTTTGTCTAACTTTGCCCTGGCAATGACGCTGCATCCTTTAGCTGAACAAGGAAGCATCCTTTAGCTGTGGTAGGACTACCCCTTCTCAACCTTTTTCTTTCCTCTTCTGCGGAAGGATCTTGCCCAGATTTCTGAGATCAGGTCATAGCAAAGGCTTGTGCCAGTACAAAAGGCATGTCTCCCAGTATAATTTATTTATTCATTCATTTTATTTTTAATATATTTGCCCTGCTTTTATTCTTAATAAGGACCTGGGACACCTTACATCACGAAAGACAATAAAAGCTTAAAACACTTATACAAATATTTAAAAAGAATCAAGCAAATAGCACAATAGAAACAGTAAACAAAAGCAACACCAAAAACACGTTCAAAGCAGTGAAGCACATCAATCCATTAACACCCCTCCAAGCAGCCAGTCACTGAAGGGAAGCTTGCCTGAAGAGAAAGGTCCTTCTCTTCTTGCAGAAGGAAAGGAAAGATGGGACCGGCCTGGCTTCCTGTAGGAGGAGTTCCAGAGTCTGGGAGCAGCAACAGAGAAAGACCTCTCCAATGTCCCCAATAATGAGATGTTTGTCAGAATAACTTTCAGTCTATTCTTAACTTCCTATAACCGATCCATCTTTGAATGACCATAGCTGTCAAACGAAATAGGGTTTAAGATCATTATGTGGTTTCTAAGAATTATTTTTAAAAATATGCTGTAAGGTAGGGGTGAAGAACATTTTGGTGTCTGGGGCTTCAAGTAATTCCTTACCATTTGCTGCTCTGGGTAAGGTCATCTGGTGAGTCAAGGCTTATCCATTTCTGGGGTGTAGGACAGGTGCTGGTATATTCATGGGAGAGATCAGAAGGAAAGAAGCACCCTTGACAAAACATGCTGCCTTGAAATTTCTTCCTTTCCTGGCCTTTTTCAGGACAGCTGGCTGATCACAGAAGGGAAGGGACTCCGCCATCACTCCAGATGTTATTTGCCAAGCATTGTTTGTCTTGGTGTGCTAGTCTTCTGTCTGGCCCTGGGAGTTACAGCAGAAAAAAATAGATTCCAGCATGGTTACCTGTGTCATGCCAGCCTGCCCGAATTTGCCATCCTGTCAATGTGCTGGACTAGAATACCCTTCATTGCCAGCCATCATAGGTGGTGGTGGATGAGGATGATGGGGGCTGTAATTCAGGACATCCAGAGTTCCCAAAATCAGGTTTTGGTAGACTGTCCTATATTATTATTGTAAATTAGCCTCATAATTACAGTACTGCCCATTCAAAAGTGCCCATGTGGGACATACTTTCCACCCTGATAATTGCTTTGCATTAATACAGGTTGAACATATAATCTTAGATCCAGCTGCCATTTTTAAGCATCACTGCAAATGTCTCACATTAAATAAGGGTCTGGATATAACACAAGAGTTATTAGATGGATGAGATGTGGGAGCATCTTTCTCCAAAATTGGGTTGCTAACTATCTCATTGAGACAAAAAAGTCTGCATCTAGCCACTAAAAAATTGAAGTGTTAATTTTAGTACCTGAATCTCACATCAGCTGCTATTGGAGCATTACTGCTAATAGCAGTAATGGAAGGAGCCAAAATTATAGCTGCTAAGTGCTGTAGAATGGAAGGATGTTGCAGAAACTGGAAATTGTCTTTGTCCTAAGCAAACAGAGTCGAAATGCATGAACTCTTTAACACCTTTGAATAGGAAAGTGTCCTTGCTACTTTGACAGCATCTTTGCCCTTATCCCATGGGAGGGGATGGGCCAAAATCTCTACGGTGGACCACACTCTTTGTATACAAGTGTCCCATGTTCGGTCCCCACCATTGCCAGGCAGGCAAGTTTCTCTCAAAGTCTGGTGAACCACTGCCAGTCAAGGTAGAGGAGGAGTGGACAAGCTCCACTGGCCAAGGGCCATTTTTCCCACTTCTGGAATCTTCAAGAGGCCACACCATCCCCTCCCCATGAATCTGGAAGTGACTACTGGCTAAGGGGACTGTTGAAACAGATCCCCAAAGCTATCTGTTGTCCAGAAGTGATCCAGAAAAGTAACATTTGCAAGCTCTCAGATTGTATGAAAAATAAAGTTGGTGCTGATACTGTTTTTATGGAGCACCTGCATCACATGTGAACATATTGTATAAAAATTGTGCCTTTGGAGCACTGACTTGTCCATGTATTTCTTTTTCCTTTTCAGTTTCGAAGATGTCTTATGCAGCTTTTCTGTGTTCGGCTCCTAAGGCTTCGGAGGAGCCTGAAAAAAAGACCAGTGGAAGATAATGACAAGCCCATCCAGTCCATAATCATATCCCAGAAAGCAGGAGACAGACCAAAGAAGAAAGTGACTTTTAGCTCTTCCTCTGTCATTTTCATTATCACCAGTGATGACTCGCAACAGATTGATGACAGTACCAAACACACAGGCACAAAAATAAATGTGATCCAAGTGAAGCCGCTATAGCCAGGGATATTCTTGGGACTTAAATGGACTTCTGCTAGCAGAACTATTTTGCTTTGAAGACAGCTTCTGTGGTACAGTCGGTAAATCAGGCATCCTCTTTGAGATGTGAAATACAGAAGCAATTCAGGCTGTAATTGTCTGCTTGCTCACTTCCTGAGTGTAAGTCCTGTTGAACTCAGTAGGATTTACTTCAGAGTAGATGTGCACAGGATTGCACTCTCTGTGATTGGGAGCTGTGTACCATGTGGATTGTTATGAAATAATGCCATATGGCTGAAAGTTGGATTTATTTTTACGTAGAGTATTTATTTTTCCATGTCCTGTGTTGGTTACCCCACTCCTTGCTGCAGCTGCACTGTAGCCATGCCAGAGAATAAAAAAGCTCTTCAAATAGGCAGTAGTTTCTTCAGCAGAGCCTCACTGATTTCCTTTTTAAAGTAACATCTGGTGCTATATATTTAATACTATGTGATGTGATCTATGATTCATTGGGCCTGTGAAACATTAGGTGAAACACATGCCTTGCATACTTTTGTGGGCCAAGCTTGTGACTTGTTGAGGTGACTTCCTTTTATACAACAAAGGGCACTGGCTTGTTATAGAAAATTGTTTCTTGGTGTGCGGCGTCATTCTGCTTTATACTATTTGTCTTTGAAAGATGGGGTGGGAAACATTTTGGGAGCACGGCCATCTTAATTCCAGCTCTGGCTGTGCAGTGGTTATGCTGAATGTATTCAGGCAGGAAAAGGTAACACAAAAAAGCCAAGAAACCACAGCATGTTTGAAAAGATGAATGAAGATTTGATGTAAAGTCAGTAGATGTTGTGCATCTTCCTTGGCTCCAGTGCCAGAGGTTCCAAATTTGGCATGCAGGTCCTCTTGGTGAAGGTCCTCAGAGCTACCCCATCCCAAAAGAAGATATGAGGAGATCTTTTGTAAAACAAATGGGTCTTAATTGCCTATTTAAGACCAAAACCATCTTCAAATACTTTGCATTACAACAGAGATAGCTTGGGAAAATACCTGTTCATGGGGAAATCCATTTCTGTCCCAGCTTAAGGGAGAGTTGCAGCTAAACTCAGAGAAGCCTGAACAGGGTGGCAGGTGATGTCATAGTTCTTGCTACTTCAGTCCTGAGTCACTGAAAGGACCAGACTATGATTGTCTTATCCAAGGATCAAACTGAATTAGTTTGAAGTTCTGTTGTTTTTAGGGGTCTCAAACTCAATTTACCTGGGGGCCGCCGGAGGCAGAGGCTGGGTGAGGCTGGGCCGCATCAGATTTTTCACCAAGCGGAGCAAGACCCCAAGGAAACAGCCCAGGAGTTTCCTTAGCCTGGCTGGGGCTCCGAGGAGGAGGAGGAGGGGCACGCGAGTCCTCGTAGCCGGCCACGACCCCCTCCGGCTCCTTTTTCACTACCACCACCAGCAGCAGGATGAAGAAGTAGAGAAGAGAGGGAGCACCGGTGACCGCCTAGCGGAGGGTAGGGCATGACTTAAAATTTAAAAAACCCTCACAGAATCGCCTTGCCAAAGGAAAAAGCCCCCACAGGTACCCACAAAATTAAACAGAACGAGGTGGGGGCCCCTGCAGGTACGTGCACGCACTCACAAACACACACACACACTGAAGTACAGCAACCTTCCTCTGAAGGCCCCTCTCAAAAAAAGGCACACTCAGCAGCAGCATCTACCCCCACCACAACAGAGAAGCAAACTTTGCAAGGCAAGCCTAGGCAGCCTCCAGAGCTGAGGTGGCTGAAGCAGGACGAGGAGGAAGCACCGCCGGGCACTGAGGCAGCCGCTGGCCAGGCTGGTGCTGGGGGTGCCGAGAGAGAAAGAGAGCCAGAGAGCCGCTTCCCTGGAAGAGGCAGTGGCAGTGGCAGCTGCTGTTGGCGGCTTGGAGGCACTCTTCGAGGACGGGTTAGGTGCGGGCTCCGCTCTCAGGCATCACTCAGCAGCAGCTTGGGCATTCAGGCAAAAGGTCCGGCAGCGCACCTCACTCGCCAGCAGACAGGCGGGGTGGCTGGCAGGCTGCAGTTCTGGATGGAGGGTGCAAGAGGCGCTATCTGGGGAGAGAGCTGGGGAGCAAGGTGTTCTGGATGGAGGGTGCAAGAGGCACTATCGGGAGAGAGCTGGGGAGCGAGGCGAGGCTTTTTTTGATTCTTGACAGCAGAGGATGTGTGGGCACTTCAGGGGGGCAGGCAAGGCGGGGGCCACAAACTATCATCTGGCGGGCCGCAAATGGCCCCCGGGCCGCATGTTTGAGACCACTGTTTTAAAGCAATATAGTTGGGACCCTAGCTGGATCATAAAGAAGGCTGACCACCGAAGAATTGATGCTTTTGAATTGTGGTGCTGGAGGAGACTCTTGAGAGTCCCCTGGACTGCAAGGAGAACAAACCTATCAATTCTAAAGGAAATCAACCCTGAGGGCTCACTGGAAGGACAGATCCTGAAGCTGAGGCTCCAATACTTTCGCCATCTCATGAAAAGAGAAGACTCCTCGGAAAGGCCCTGATGTTGGGAAAGTGTGAAGGCAAGAGAAGGGGACGTCAGAGGATGAGATGGTTGGACCGTGTCATCGAAGCAACCAACATGAATTTGACACAACTCCGGGAGGCAGTGGAAGACAGGAGAGCCTGGCGTGCTCTGGTCCATGGGGTCACAAAGAGTCAGACATGACTTAATTATTAAACAACAAGCAACAAAAAGGGACCCTAGCTGGTGTGGTCAGGAGCGTGCTTTTGCAGCCTCCTCACTGCAGCAAATTGGGACTAGAGACTTTGCAGAGAGAAAAATATTGATTTGTAGTACCCTCTGCTGGACGGTACGTGGTAATACATGACCAACAGGTCCTTGGCCCTTGTATACTGTAAACTGCAGATGGATAATGTATTCACAATGAGTTTTCTAGGAACACTGATCCTAGGTTATGTGAGCAAACGTCCTAGACCTAAAATGTAATTGAAGAAAAATAATGCATTACACTTTTAAATCATTGGAAGACCTGTGAAATCGTCATTTCCTTGTTACTGCCTTGAAACAAGGTAAAGGTAAAGGATTGCCCTTTACATTTAGGCCAGTCGTGTCCAACTCTAGGGGGCGGTGCTCATCCCCGTCTCCAAGCCATAGAGCCAGCGTTTTTGTCCGAAGACAATCTTCCGTGGTCACATGGCCAGTGCGACTTAGACATCGAACGCTGTTACCTTCCCACTGAGGTGGTCCCTATTGATCTACTTGCATTTGCATGCTTTCGAACCGCTAGGTTGGCGGGAGCTGGGACAAGCAACGGGCACTCACTCCGTCGCATGGATTCGATCTTACGACTGCTTGGTCTTCTGACCTTGCAGCACAGAGGCTTCTGTGGTTTAACCCACAGCACCACCACATCCCTGCCTCAAAACAATAGTTTGTTTATGTCCCCCTGCACGTAAACACATATATGTCTGGTCTAACATATCTATCATTCAGTTCTGCTGCAACAAGTAACGTAATATCCAACAGCCATGAAGTAAGTAAGTAAGTAAGCAAGCAAGCAAGCAAGCAAGCAAGCAAGCAAGCAAGCAAGCAAGCAAGCAAGCAAGCACGCACGCACGCACGCACGCACGCACGCACGCACGTACGTACGTACGTACGTACGTATGTATGTATGTATGTAAAATGCTTTTATCCCACTTTTCTCCTTAAAAAGAACCCAAGGCGTCCCTCTTGCCTAGCAGAAATATACGTTTGTACAGCTCCTTACAATTAGGAAGCCAGTTCAGACAATAGGCATCAGGATTTCTCTCTCTCTTCACAGCACTGTATCTCCAGTATGACAGAAATGTATGCTTGTTGGTTTATTTGAAATACAGTTTTGAGTGGCATCAGGCAAAATCCAAAGAAACAAAACAAGATAAAAACAAGTGATGTCTTAAAAAGACTAACTATTATATTCTAATGTGAGCTTTCGTGGACACATCCACTTCATCAGACATACGGAAACAGAATGACATGTTGAATGAAATACCAGTTTCGTAACAACATTCTAGATATTCATTGGCTCCTGGATGTATAGTACATTTACATGCAGCAATTGACTTATGTTGTTTTAAGGTCCTGTTGCAAGATTTCCTCCAAGAGACAGAAAACGGACACCAGCCTTACCCAGCTGTGGTGAAAAAGGAGTTGGAACCTTTCTGTATCTCTGTGTTTTCAACTGTATGGATTTTAGCCAAAAGACTTTGCAAGCCTTGTGAACGTACACATTCTTGAGGCAAAGTATATTTCTTCTTGCAACAAACTCAGGAAGGGCATAAACATCACTTCCATCATGACTGTCAGTTCCACAGAACTACTCTTTTATTCAGGTGATAAAACAGCCAGGATGAATCTATCCTTCCTCTGAACCCAGGAAAATAACTGTTCTTGCCTGCTGTGAAAAATCTTTCATGTTGGATCATCACCTCATGAGCTAGACAAATAAGAAAGGCATTGCATCTGCCCAGTAAGCTTGTTAAGAAGGAGGAGGATTTCCAAAAGGGAAAGCATGTTAGTCTGTTGCAATGAAGAGTCCTGCAGCATCTTAATGTTCATTATTAAATCAGCCTTAATGAAATAGATGATGGTGATGATGATCTCTCCATCATAACAGCAGGCTGAAACCAAGTAATGGGTGTCTCAGGACACTTAGGAGGGTTGCACATGATGTCGGCATAAAGTGCAGGCCAAATGGATTTATTGAAAGATAGTAAATCTGTCAACGTGGAGGAAAAGGAGGGAAGGAAATAAAAGTTGGAGAAAGTAGGGGTGGAGCAGGGGGGACTTTAGGTAAATGTGGGCCACATATGTTGAGATTTCGCTAATCATTGGCTCAGCTGCTTGGTTGTCAGAGAAAGCAATGCTCGTAGCTGCAAGAGCTCCAGCCTCATATATTTGAATGGAAGCTTAATCAACCCTCATCATTAGATGAACAAAATATCAGCCTGAAGGGCAGAAGGAGAGAGTGCAGAGAAGCAGTGATATATTCACAACTTATAGAATTGGGCAATATTGCTATGTTGCACCACAACTCCCAATATCCCCCCAAATAGCATAATTGGGCTAACTGGGCAATTCCAGGCATGGTACTTTCCAAGCTCTGGTCTACTACTGTTGTGGACCATGGGCCTATGCATGGTGTTTGCCAGTGCTATGAGAATCCTGAAGTAGAAAGGTGGGTACACAGCACAAAGACAGCCAAGGCGGGAACCCAAGACCTGCACACCACCCCAAAATAGTCTCTGGGCCCAGAGTTGCATTAAACATCTGCATGCACTGAGTACACAGTATTTGTATTAAGGGCTTAACATTGGTACAGATTCCCCATGAGTGCAAACACTGCCTTAGTAGAAATTCTGGCTTGCAAACAGGCTCAGCTGAATGCTCT